TTGTTAGCTTTTACTTGATATTGAGTGTGAAGATATCTTTTCATACTGTTCATTTGACCCGTGTTATCGCCCTCCCAACAGTGACGCTTTGCTTGTAGTTTTTTGTTCATTGGGCTCAGGACCAAATGCTTTTCCCTTATTTACCAGAAGTAAAAATATTATCCCACATTCACATTCATCCACACCTGCTCCTCGTCGCCTGCCGGCAGACGTATTCATTTTTCACTCGCCGCACATCTCTTTCATTTGACTATTTTTCACCTCAAAGGACACTTAATTCCTACAATTTCTCACACGGCGTGACCTTGAAGTTGCAGGAGTCAGCTGCCCATGTAGAGTAATGGATCCAAATAAATGCCTTTTTTTTGGAGAAGGGGTGGGAGGAAAGATGAAGAATCTGCCATCTACGCATTGTGACTAGTCCATTAAAAGCACGAAATGAAGGAGGGGAAGAGAGAAGCCAGAGATACTTTGATAAGTTGTTACACCTGTGTTAACCTTGATGGTCACCCTGACTCTGGGAAGGGGGTGGTAACATTTTCTGTCTTTCTAGTTGCTTTACTCTAGATTCCTGCTCCATCTATCGCCGAGGGAACAAGGGATGGAGGGAAATCAATACAGAGAGGCATTGGCTGACAGCAGTATCGCTCCAGAATTTAAGTCCCTGTCAGCCTTTGTCATTCTGTGACTTTTGTTCGCTATTGTACTTTTAAGCCGTCATTTTTCTTGGTTGTCACTTTTCACTTTCCCAGCTTGCTTTTGTCTGAATTCCCCTGGCTGTAATTTTTACGCTGCGACTTTAAATTTGGAAAGAAAGTGGGTCAAAAGATCAAGTGCAATGAAAATCTCTCGAATTTGATTGGCCGACGAACATGGCGTACGCTCGTTTTTCATTTTGTTTCTCTGAGTGGCGCGTGCATATCCTCCGCAACATAATGAGTTCTGGTCCCTGGCAGATGATGATTATTTTGTTTAACCTTGCTACCCTGTTTAGGGAGGAGAGGGTAAACCTGCAGCCCATGATTGTTCATATCTTGTTACAAGGAAATGTTGGGATCTGCTAACACTGGAAAAGATTAGTCATCGGTATGTTGTTTTGCTTTAGTTCCCTATTAATTCTGAATGTGAAAAACTTATTTAAAAGTGATTTTTGTTCCACTGGCCTATGCAACAATAGGCCTGGATTTTATACCGAAACCTAGTGCTGGGCGGTATACCGGTTCATACCGAATACCGGTTCTGGTTAACATGTATTAAAAGGGGTCGTGTTTAGTCACTATTTAGTGTGGTATTTTTTGACAATATTCACTCATCATGACAGTAAAATAGGGCATTCTAAGTCAATATACTGCAGTATTTCCTCTCTCAATCAGTAGAAAATATGGTTAACACCCGGTCATGCATGAAAAAAAAATACCGTCATGTACCGTGAAACCGGTATAATTTTGAAAAATACCGTGATATAAATTTTTGGTCATACCGCCCAGCACTACCGAAACCTATTGCCACACATTCAGAAGATTTCAGAAACCAATGCAGTTTGTTGAAATACTCTCTTTCTAAAAAAGACATAAAGGGGGCTACCATTCTTGTCAATGGTATTGTTCATTTATTTACATCTGCAGCTTTCTACAAGTGGAAACATGCAGCAAATATTACTATAAAACAAAATAATGCTCCAACTAGGGCTGCACGATTAATCGCATGCGATATTTAATGCACATCTTGTCAGTAAAGACGGTTCTGTAATCAGCGGTAAATCTCCATCACCTGCGTGCTTTCACATTGAGCAGCATTAACTACACAGAGCCGTTGTTCACTGATGAGCTGCGCAAAAAATCGCGCGAATATGAACGTGGTTTTGCGCAACTCGTCAGTTAACTCGTCGCGATTAATCATGCAGCCCTAGCTCCAACATATAATTAGCAGGCTCTGACACAACACATAAGAAGTTGAGCTTCATCATGATCAACTAAAATGTGAATGACTACTTTTGTTAAATGTCCCAATCAGGATTGATTTATTAATAAATTACCCATGAGAGTAATTTCTTCTCAATGATTTACTAGTAAATGGATGCTCTGCTACAGCACGAAGTGACTTGTGTGCGTGTATGTGATTTAAAAAAAATCAGATCATACTGAAAAAAAGGTGTTAAACATGTTTAATCATGTTAAATTTAACAGCTCCCATTTGTTTTTGATTTCAAATTTGGAGTAAATACATTTTAAATATGTGACCCTGGACCACAAAACCAGTCATAAGGGTCAATTTTTTAAATCGATGTTTATACAATACAAATATACCCCAGCGACTTAAGACTGCTTTTGTGCTCCAGGGTCACATATCTTGTTAATTCAGTTGCCTACTTTTGTCAAACTCCAAAATATGCATTTTATTTGGACCTTTATTGAAGTGCTGAATAAATAGTTCTAGACTACTGTAGACGATACAGATTTTTTACAATAATATGGCTCTAATGTTTTGTCATGGGTGTAGTCCGTTGAAGGAAATGAGTGCTGACCCTGTCCGTTTCAGTTCTCCAGAACACAGAACATTTGGAGATGTGGATGATTACTCTGTCTGAAGTCATAAACACATTGCTTTCATAGTTTTCTCTCTGCCTCTATGGCTTCAGCTTCAGCCGCACTGTGACTGCAGATTTTGCTTCCCTCTTCAGTGGACTGCCAAACATGTGCAAGACCCTTTGAATTAAGTTCACCTTGTAGGGTTTCCAGAAGTCTTATGACGTCACTTCAGAATTACAGCCCCAAACGTGATGATAATGTCACTGCTGTGTAGTTCACCTGAATGTTTCCTATAATGCAGCCTGTATGTTCAGCTGCAAGGAAGCCATTTGTCAGGAAGTTCATGAAAATTACGAAGCCCATTATGGAGCTCAGGGATTTGGTGCCGTTGACACTAGTTGATAAAGTGCCTGTTTATGCCAAAGTGTTTGAGCTCACGACGGCTAATTAATAATGTGTTAATCAGTCGTTGAAGGGAACAATTAAAAAAATATGGATGATTGCTCGTTTTGTTTCCGATTCAGAAATCACCTTCAGAACAAACTTCAAAACGGTTTATTTCAATGAATATTACAAATTCTAAATATTACAAACTTAAAAGGTCTTATAAAAATAATATTACAATATGTAAAAAAGTATTTGATTACATAAGTCATTAATAATATTTATGTGCACCTTTTATTGTTGTCAAACCCGTTCTTTTGCTTGTTTTTTCTTTCCTCCATTCTTTCATCAAAACGAATGTTACCCATCTAGAATTTTCCATTTCTTATCCAGACGTGACCTTCCACGCCGAACAGAGACAAATCGCTGTCTTTTTTTCCGTTCCTTTATTCCCGCTCTTTTGTTACACTAGACACTCAAATAGGTTCACATTTAAAGATTCACCCTTTGCCTTTTATCTCTCTTTTATTCCACCATCCTCTTCTCATGGCTTTAAGGTCACTGCAGAGTTAAGAACAGCGAAATGAGACACAGATTGATAATTAGGAGAGGGAAGCCCCCCTAATGTGATTTATCTCTATGGATTTTCTGTCATACATGAAGAGTCGATCCTCAAATTGGAGAGGAGGGCCCATTAGAAGGCACTTTGGAGCGTTTACCACTAACTTTGCCGAGGCAGGCTTTGGCATCTGCCTTCACTGTATTTGTTGTCTGAGGCGGTTGCTGTCCAAAGCTAATTTAATTTAGGGCCATAACACACAATGGATGAAGCAGAGGGAATTACATTAAAACAAGCTATACTGGTTGCCGTAACCTTTCCGCTTGATTGCTGTTTGCTAGACGTTGCATCAGAATCAGATAAGAGGCACCGGGAAAAAAACGAACCCATGTTGTTTTGCGCTTGGTGGGCTGTTTTCGCTTATTCTGGGTTGAATTCATTCCAGCATCTCACCAGCTTTGTTACTCATCTCCTGATTTATTGATTCTGATTGGGACATTGGTTTCCGCAGAGGACGGCTTATTCATTTACTTTTCTACTTTGGGTAGTACCAGATAAAAACAGAATTGAAGTTTTATCAGAGGGATATTTGCAGTGCGAGGTGCTTTGTTAAAGGATTGCATTTGAGTTCAATAACAAATTCTGACAAAGAAAAATGTCTCCTTGTGCATTATGGGTAGTTTCTACATTTTTTAGCGTAGCCCAAAGGCGTTAGCAAATACATGTCCAGTGTTATTAATCACTGTGACAACAGCCTGGAAATGACCCAGAGTTCCATTTGTTTCCTGTGTGTATGGAGTTACTGCATACACACACACACACACACACACACACACACACACACACACACTCATACGCTGAGGCGTCAACACACACTCTAATGATGTAGTGTGCTTTGTTTTCTTCACCCGTTCTGATAGACAGCATTCTTCTCAGGTAAAAGTAGCACAGGAGCACACTTGTGCCTTCAACTTGTTTGTATGTGACAAGTTTGTATTGTAGCTTTTAAATGTGACCCTGGAGCACAAAACCAGTCTTAAGTTGCACGGAGATATTTGTAGCAATAGCCAAAAATACATTGTTTGGGTCAAAATTATTGATTTTTATTTTATGCCAAAAATCATTAGGATATTAAGTAAAGATCATGTTCCATGAAGATATTTTGTAAATTTCCTACCGTAAATATATCAAAACTTAATTTTTTATTAGTAATATACATTGCTAAGAACTTCATTTGGACAACTTTAAAGGCGATTTTCTTAATATTTTGATTTTTTTGCACCAGATTTTCAAATAGTTGTATCTCAGCCAAATATTGTCCTATCATAACAAACCATACATCAATGGAAAGCTTATTTATTCGGCTTTCAGATTATGTATTAATCTCAGTTTCGAAAAATGTAAGTTTTGTGGTCCAGGGTCACAAATAGGGATATATATTTTGAATGAACGGTTTAATATCTTCATTGATTGAATGAATGCATATAAGAGCATGATTACTCACAGGAGTGGTTTTCTTCTGTCTGCAGTCTCAATGTGCTCAGTATGCCGCTGAGAAACGCGATGAGGAGAAGATGTGCGATCACCTGATCAGGGCTGCCAAGTACCGGGATCACGTCACGTCCACCCAGCTCATCCAGAAGATTGTGAACATCCTCACAGATAAGCACGGAGCCTGGGGCTGCTCTACTTTCAGGTACAACTTCAGTTATATGACTTGGACCAAATGTGCTGCTGACACCATATTATTATATATATTCACCATCTTACTCTTCGTTATCTTGAAAATGAAGGGAACACTTGTAATGCCACAGAAGTAAACTGAAATTGATTATACCACTAATGACCCAGTGATTAGTTTTTCCTCAAAAGCATTATTGTATCACACTGGTTAAAGGGATAGTTCACCCAAAAAGGAAAATTCTGTCATCATCAACTATCCCTTTAACCTGACTTTGTTTACAGCCAGACTTACTTTCTTACTGGAACTTGGGATAAAGCCAACTAATCAGATTGGTGATCGGGTTGTCACAATATCGGATTTTCACTGCATGATTATTAGGGATGCACCGATACCACTTTTTCCTTTCTGCTGTCTGTTGTTCTGTTGTTGGTGCTTCTTTGTTTGAATATGGCGCTTATCACATGCTGTGTGGTATCGGCGTTTGGTATCGGGGCATTTTAACGAGTACGAGTAGGAGTACAGGAGACCGGTATCGGGCCCGATACCGATACCAGTATCGGTATCGGTGCATCCCTAATGATTATTGTGGCCAAATAATTCACAATAACAAAATTATGATGTCTGTAGAAATTAAATAGAAAATAATACAACAATACCACCAGTCAAATTCATATTTATTCATCTTTCTTTCTTTCTTTCTTTCTTTCTTTCATTAATTTTATTTATTTTGTTGTGTTTTCTCTTTTTTGGCCAATGAATTACACTCAAAATATGAGTGTCTTGGTCATAATCATAATTTTGTGTGGCAGTAGTAGCTGCATACTGCTTCTTCTTCTTCGTTTTCATCATCCTGTACTATTACTACTACTTTTTCCATTTTATGTTGGGAAGCAATCAGCGTAAAGCTGCAATACCTGCCATCTACTTGGAGTATCAACCATTCAGTTACTGGCACTGAATTATTTATGAAATTATGTTGTCTAGTATTAACATGCAATAATTTTTAAACGTTATTTTTAATATTTAATTAAATTTTTTGGGGATCATGCACCAGGTGGTCTGTGAACAGACGTCTATAGTGATAGGTGTGGGATCTTTTCCCAGCACAGTTCAGCTCTCCTCTGTTTATTAGTACACCTGCATCCTACTGTACCCCATACCAAATCATCCGTAATCATTAGACCTCATATTATATACCTCTCTCACAATATACTAAACCTACATTTCTGCCCATTATGGGCTCTAATGGAGTCTTACAGTCAGGCTTCTGAGCCTGGGTTATGTCTTATTGCTTCGGTTTCTGTGTATGATGCATTGCTGTTGGAATGGGATGAAAGCCAGTGAATGCTACCTGGCCATTACTGAAGGAAACATAAGGAGCTATATTTATCTCTGTAAACACACAGAAATATCCCGTAATGAAGCAGTCATGCACTGCTTTTCTCTAATCTAGTTTGTTGCCCAAGAAGCTCATTGACTCTGTAGTTCAATTTCTGTGGTTTGTTGTATCAAGATTTTGTGCTCTCTCTCTCTCTCTCTCTCTCTGTTCTTTCCTCTCAGTATTCTGCAGTCATATAATGGCAGGGCGCTCTGTTCTCTCTCTTGGCTCTCTCCCCATTACTGGCCTTTATGTAGCAGAGCTATTGATGACTTTTGTAATAGTATGCGATGGGCGCGTGGTGACGCTGGCACAGTCTCAGAGTGTGTTTAATAAATCACAATCAGACCCTGCTGTTACATCAATACTTCTGCTCAATTACCCAGAAGGTCATGGGCAAAAATGCTGGAGAGCTGGAGATCGGTAACTAGAAGAGAGAACAACATCTGGAAGTAAAAGAAGGGACACGCACTCACAATGCAACATGCAACTTGCAGCTGCATGTGTACAGTGGGTTATTTTCACATCTAATCATGGATTGAAAAGCTGGAAGGGAGTGATTCACTTGGAACTTACCACAAAAAGGATAAAAATGGTGATTGAGTCTGTTAAAAAATATTTTTAAGATAAAGTTTGTGGTGTGATTTGTAATTTCTGGCAATAAAAATTCAATAATCATCATAATTACAAAATGTTTGTCAAATACAGAATATCTGCCATGGGAAATGGCGATGTAGATTTAGCTTGCATTAAACTATTATGTGGCGGGAGCTAGCTTTTGGGAGCAAAGAAAAATAATTAAATATTATAACAATGTGTATTATGTATTGGATATAATATTATATTATATATTGGATAACAGGGTTGACAAATGCATTTGACAGGACAGCAGAATTCTTGAGATGCTACTTTTTGGGTTTTGGGTGAAAATCATGTGATAACAGGGTTGGATGCAAGATTTGGAACACATATACTTTTTTTAATTAATTAATGACTTAGAATTATTTGTACAAATATTTTTACAGCAATAAATTGAATATCAGTTCCACAGATTGTCAACACAAAAGGGTTGTGATATTAAATGCTGATATCAGCATATCAAGAAGATTAAGACCTCAAATCAAATTCAGACCTAATTCAGATCCGACTGTTTTAGATAATAGTTATCAATTAGCTGTCACAATAAATTGATAGGATCTGTGCCTCTAATGCTTTGTTTAAAAAGTCATGGGACACCAAAGTGCACCATATTCATAGAGCATTGGTTTTGCTGTAAAACCATTAGAAATGACACACATCCACCGTTTTAGATAACAAAAGAAAACAACAGCATTGAAGCGTTGAGAGACAACACACACACACACACACAGCGAAATCTTGTTTTTCTCCTCATTGGAAATGAAATCAGATTCCTCAAAGAGCACTCAGCTGCCATGATTACACCCTTTTGTTGGGAGTGTTAAATTTGCAAGCCCGCTAGCTCCCCCCTATAAAGACGTATTCCCCAAAGTTTCCATTCAATAAAAGGCTGAAAATGAAAATATTATTTTCCTTCCCAGCTGATGGTAGTTGTTGTTTCCTCATGGCAGGCATCTAATATCATCTGACACCTACTGACCCGCCTGAATGCAATTTGTGTCTTAATATCCAGCTTACAGCAGCACCGTCCTCAGGAGAGTTGAGGTGTTAGGTGATTTTCTCTCGTTCCTGCTTTCATTCCTCACGTGCTCCCTCCCTCTCTCGCTCGTGGATGCATTATCAGAGAGGTCCATGGGGCTTTGCACTCCGGCTAACAAAGGAAAAGACACACATATACCAACACATACACACATATTCCACTTGCTGATTTGGGACTGTCCCATTCTGCGCTGTCCATGGCCCTTCTTTTTTGATTGGATCTCAGATTGACAGACAAATGCATCCACCTGTCTTTCGTCTGGTGAAGCAGCTGAACATGTGGCGCTAGCGTCTGCCAAAACCAGACAAAATAAACACGGTGCCCACAAATGAGGCTGCTGATAGCATTTTTTTTTTCTTTCTTTTGCTACCTGCCGTTCCTCTCTCTCCCTCTCTTTTTTCAGTTTCATCAGTGTGGTCATGTTTATTTGGGTCAAGAGACCGATGATCTTTCATGTAGATGACACGCCAGTAAAGTGGTCGGCTGAAAGAGAGATGATAGAGAGGAGGAGGAGCGGGAGTCTCACAGGACAGATGAGTCTTCCTCTCATATTCTTCTTCATTGCATTCTGATGGTGGGACTAATGTAGCATGGAAATTCACTCTGCTCCTGCGCTCAGAGCAGTTCCACACCCTCAAACACTGTCAGGGAGAAGATGAGGAAGATGAAAGCAAATGAAATGAAGAATAGACGGCGTGAAAGAAGGGGATATTTTTGTAGTGCACAAGCTCACAGATATGAAGAGCAAACTATGGTTTAAGAGTTTCTGTGAATGAGATCATCTTTGGTTGCTCATTTCGTTCAAACCATTAGAGAATGTGTGCTGTTTGGCTGTGTACAAGCATTCGCCCCTCTTTTACAGTTTTGTATGGTTTTTATCAAAATGTGTATGCCCAGGAAGTAACATCTCTTTTTTTTTTTTTTCCCTCCTGGCTTTTACACAATTTGTAGTGTTGTCTGCCTTCATAAAACTCAACCTTTCTGACCCTGTTATGCAAGGTACTGTAGGAATTTTCTCTTTATAGTAAATATAAGTGCATCAGTAAACGTAACATTTTCTCCTAAAAATGTACAATTTATTTATTTATTTTTACATTTTCTGGCTTTTGCCTGTTTTGGAAAAATCAATCACATCAATGTTTTTTTTTTATTTTTTAGATTAAATACATGGTCACAAGGTTGCAAAAAAGGGAAACCTCATATAGAATGAAAAACAAAAACTTTTGACCCTGTTATCCAAGTTATTGTAGAAAAACTTTTTAAAACTATTTATTTTTATAGTAAATATACATGTATCACGAGTTATAAACTAACATTTGCTCCCAAAAATGTATAGATTTTATAGATTTTACCCGTTTTGAAAATACCGATAACACCAATTTTTATAGTAAATATAAGTTTGTCAGTAATTACAACCCAGCATTTTCTGCCCCCAAAAAATACTTTTATTTTTTTTTTATTTCCTGTTTTGGAAATACCAATTACACTAATTAGGGTTTTTATTTAGATAACTCTATTTAGATATTAAATACATGCTAACAGGGTTGAAAAATTGGGAAACACTCAACATTGACAATCAGCATTTTTGTACCACCTTCTACTGACCGTTTCTTGAAAGACCAAAAATTGCCATTTTTAAGGGTTTCACAAACTGTTTTGTATTCTCTTTGTGAAAAGTGCCAGTTATTGAAGAAATACCAGGTTTTATCAGAAACGGGGGCAGTTGTTCTTAAGACTCCTGCTTATTCTTGTGCTCTTCTTTCTTTTGCACTCTCTCTTTTTTTTTATGTTTTCTCACTTTCGTTTCCCACCATCACACCCTATCTCTCTCTCATTCTTTCTCTCTCCTCCTCTAACGCGAGTCATTTCCAGCAGCAGCTCCAGTGATCTCTAATGGAGCTCCTCGGGGCTGGAGGCACCCCTGCCTGGGGACATCCATCTTTTCTGTGTCAGAAA